TTTCCAACCACTATTCTCAAAAAACGGTTCCCACATCAATATCACACTAATAAATGAAATAATAAATATAACATACAATAGAACAATTAAGTGGTAATAAAAAATATATAACCTTGTTGTGTTGAGCGAAAGTAAATCCTTTTACATTCGTAAAGGTACTCTTCGACATGTGATTTTCCAGATTGTGTGAATGTCATATTGCATATATTGCGTTTACGTTCGGGACAAGATTCTGATTTAACACTAACGTCAAATTCATCCTCAAATTTGACTGCTTAATCATTTATAGACGTAAATGTTTCTTCTATCTAGTTTAATCAACGATTTCCTTTATTACGATAAATAGGACGATAAACGGTTTCAATTTCAACTGAATACGCATTTATTATTTGACATTTGAAGCATAGAGTACATTTTTAGAAAGATGAGACTAGTATCAGTTCGCTTTGATTTGAATTGAACAGAGAGGCGCGACTTTTCAAATTTATTATGGCCCTCTGCGTCTCAACTGTCAACTAAATATTTTAATAATCAATTCTAAAACAACTAATAATAGGTAAAATAGGCATTTTACCTTAAGACAAGCTTCCCGATATATATATATATATATATATATATATATATATATATATATACAGTCGGTCAAGTAAGAGCGTGGTCGACTTCAACGACAGTTAATGAAAGATTTCGGTCTAATTCTTTCGTGAGCCAATAAAGTGAAGCTTTGTGCTTGATGCATTGTCAAAAAAGGTTTAGTTGCAGTTGATCTTTTGAAAAAAAATTACGTTAAACGCCATGAGTGCTAAGTTACGCGTCGCGCTACGAGGCTGCGCCCTTTTGCATGCACCTAAAAGGTACCCAAATGTAGCAATCAGCTGCTGCTAAATATATGAAAAAGTTGAAGGCATTTATACAGAATTCGATACACCTATATAAAGTTGCTAAAAAAGTCGATGATTTATGAGAACGTGATTCAAATAAAAAAGAAGAAAAAAGAACAGTGAATGGGTATTTGCGGAATCCTGCTTTAACACTGCAGCAAGGACGAGCAAAATTAATGGCAAAATGTTTAGAAATATCTACAAAAATATCTACAAAACTATCTGAACCTTTCTTCGTATTCATGATCTGAAATGGCGCAACACAACTGGGAAGCCTCTGACGACTGAAAAACATGTGCTTTTCCGCTTGAGCACAAGAAAATATTGTTAGAGATTTTGAAAATGTCATTTTCACTGACGAAAGCTCTATATGAGCACGTACTGCCCTCATCGAGCCGTCGGACTAAAATAATCCGTTAAATTAGTAAAAAGCAGGCGTCAGAGATGCCAGGCAATTGTCGACTCCGGTGGTGACTGGACACATATTGACTAAAATTGCATCCTTGCTTTTAACGTATACAATGCATATATAAATATTAAAGTTTCATAAAATAATTATTTTTATAAATTAACCCGACCACGCTCTTACTATATGACTGTATATATATATATATATATATATATATATATATATATATATATATATATTATATATATATAAATAAAAAAAAAAAATGACTTAATATAAATGTGCTCTTGCTTTTATTTTTCAGATAGTATATATATTTATATATATATATATATATATATATATATATATATATACTAGCTGACCCGGCAAATGTTTTGCTAAATAAGGTATATTCTAAACCATTTCTAGAGAATCAAAAATATTAATACTATAAGTGCATAAGGATGTGTTGTTTGAATGCTATATACAATTAGGTATTATAACAACAATAAACCCCATTAGTTTGTCTATATTTTGTCAATACAATCAAACTGCAAGTTTTATACACTTTCTATAGAAACCATCGTATAATCCAATCCGAGTCTTTTTTGGTCTTTCGGCTTATTAATTACGTTTCAAGTTTTTCAGATTCTTTTTGGATTCTGGATTTTGTGTATAATTGTAAATATAACTACTGAGCTTATACAAAATTTTCAAATTTTTGGGAGGAGATATAAAAAATGAATTAAGTATTTCTTCTTTGACCTGCTTTTTGAAAAGTTTCAAGTTACATTTGATGAATTAAAGTAAATTTAATAAAAAGTAAATTTGTAGAGCAGGGCGAGACACAAAGGTCCAATTTGACTTTGAGCAAATATTAATTATATTGTGAAAACTAAAACAATTATATCACAACAAATAACACATTTCAAACGAACAATTATCTGACTACGTTCAGCTTTTTTGATGTCTTCCAAAAATTTGTTATAGACCTTTTTATCCTATATGCGGGGTAACTTTAACGGGCAGGTGGCAAAAGGTTTAAAGCATTATTATAATTTAGAAGGTATTTTACAAAATAATTGCATTTTTAACTAATGCTAAAACTACCAACGGAAGAAAATACTTTTATTATGGATTTTCAAAGATTAACGTTTATCTCCCCCATTTCAAAGATTATCGTTTTCAAATCAAGTTTGTAGCTGGATATACATCTTTTTTCCTCAACTTTCAAATATTGTTGTTAAACAATGCTTAACTTTACTGATTTTTGGCACATCGGTGGTGGACCTTTTTAATCCCGGACCTTCATATATTACTATCTATTCTGCGATAAATTCTGGGAAATTATAACTGGAAAGATGTTATTCGACAAAATGTCCATTTGATCGGTACCAAATTTAGGTTCTGAATTTAAATAACATAAATAAAAAATAATATAACCTAGAAAATGAGTATATAATTATACAAATGAGATCTTTCAGAGCACCGTGTTTGAAAAAAATATGCCAAAAAGTGCATTTTCATTTCAAAAAAGTTGATATTTTGAGTCTTTAGTAACACTTGCGGCCCGTTTACTAACGTTTTTGTATATAAATAAAACTACAAACAAAACTACTTACTACAATTTTATCATATATAAATAATATTCGCGTAAAACATCCTATTAAACGTAATTGAACATCATTACGCTTCTACAAAAATTTTCAAATTAAAAATGTAAAGTTTCTACGCGGATTTGAAAAAATTTCTCACCTTTTGGACTTTCTCTGGATTGGCACGAATTTTTCAAGACTAAGACTGGCCAAATCGATTCAGCCGTTTTCGAGTTTTATTCGGACATTTGAAAGAGAGCTCCATTTTCATATATAAGATATATATATATATATATATATATATATGTGTGTGTGTGTGTATGTACATACATATAAATTATATATGTATGTACATACTATGTGTATACGCATTCCTAAGTTCATGAATGTATGTGTTCACATTTACGCATATGTGTGTATGTGTGTGTGTGTGTTCATATATACGAATATGCCTGTATGTATTTATGTATGTGTGCAAAAAAGGGCCCCTCCGCGTCATTTTTTTTTCAAAAATTACCTAATTATTATGAAATATTTTCGGAATCCATATTACGTAATCCACGTAATCCATGTAACTTTTTTGCGTAAAAATTACATAAAATTACGGATTTTGGCTTAGTGAGGAGGTAATTCAAGCTTTTTTTTGTCGAAGTAAAACTTCTTTAGGGGCGACTAGGGTGTAAATCTATACAAATGCAACGGAAAAAGCGCTATGGTCGAGTCGAGTTCCAATGATTCGTCATTTGCTGGTTATATCATTTCTATATGGGTCGATTGTGATTGGTCGTCGTGTTGCTTGAGTATGATTGCTTTGATTGTATAGTGAAAATGTATAGTGAAAAAACCATATAAAAAATCGCCAACTATAGGAGACCTTCTTCTAGAATTTTGAGTACATTGAATGTATTTATGTATACAAAATCAAAAAATCGAATCTAAAGCAACTTTTTTTTTTTTTTTAGATTCGATTTTTTGATTTTGGGATATATTTTAAAATATATGAATACAATGCTTGATTTGCTCATAATTTGGTTTGTATTGAAATTGAAAATTGAATAGTATTTAATGATGTTCGAGATTTTGGTGAATTCCAAAAAAATTCATGGTATTTGTTTATATATTCGGCAAATATTTGTTATCATACCGCAGAACCCGAATAACTGTGAAATGGAGACCAGCATTGGTTAAATATGGTAAAAAAAAAAAAAAAAAATGAATCTAAATCAACTAATCATTCTTCATTCAGCGCTCGAAGCGAACACATCGATTATACAATACCTGAGTACAATCAGCAAGCATAATAAACAGCATTTATTTAGTCAAAGTTTAGTGTAGTGTTTGATCTAGTAAGTGACTTTACTTGTGAATTCAGTGCTTTTTAATTAAATATAGTGCTCCCGTCTAGTAGTACTATAAATTATCACTCCACAATTCCTATTGTGGAATCATTTAACATCATTCACGAAGACCAAAATAATTCTACTCAACTAGTTCTGAACCAGATGACTACAAAAAGAAATAACGATGATGCAGTAAACAGATCAACATCGTCTGGTGACGCCACTGACTATTACATGCGTCGATAATAATAATATAGTCGCCATCTCGGGGTTACAATATGTCAACCGATGTGTTCCTTTCTAATCCAGACTACCTGTCTCTTTCCTTCCAAAACTTTGACCTATGACTTCCGACACGTGGTCTACTCTTCGTTTCGAGTTGATTTCCAGTCACTTCGCTTCCAGTGCATTTCAATTCGGGTTCTATCTAGTTCCGTATTCAATTCGATTCCAGTGCGTTATCAGTACGCTTACAGCTTGCTTTCTTTCTTTGGTTCAGTTTCGAGTTTCCTTCCGAGTCAGTCGAGTTTAGAAGTTGTGTTGAGTTTCCTTTTATTGACCAAAGTGTGGTCATTTTTTAGTTTGTTATTATCATAGAAGAAGAACGTTTTTAGTTTCCATATACAGTCCACGAATACCAGCCATCCGTGTGGTCTACTGATCGAATCAAGGCCACACCACATTTTGGTCCTTCAAGCCGGATCTCAATTAAGATTGAGAGTTTGCATGATATATTTGCATTTAACGGATATCGAGGTAAGATTATATTTCCAAGTTTCTTATAATCCTAAAAATGCCGCCCAAGAGTGCATCTGCCAGTGCTGAAGTCGCACGTCTAATTTCCAAACGAGAAATGTATTTTTCCATTATACAGAAGACGTATGACTTGAGCAGAGATGTGGAAGATGCGTCAAGTAAGAAACAATTTTGTACAAACCTGATAATGTTAGATAACGTTCGAGAACAATTTATAAAACTTACCGACGATATTAATAAATTAAACTCGTTGGAAAATCCCAGTTTCGTACCGGATTATGCTGCCCTTCTGTAGAACAATTATACGCGGAGATAAAATACATTGAAAAAACTATTTCTGATGTAAACAATACTTCCTCTTTGACAAAAAGTGAAGATTCCCCATATAAATTTATTTCCAAATCCCGTCTCCCAACAATTGAAATACCCAAATTTGCGGGTGATTTCAAAAAATGGCCGCTATTCTACGAAACATTCAAAACCCTTATACATCAGAATCCCGAGATTGACATTATATCTAAATTTCATTATTTAATGGGCGCCTTAGTAGGCCCAGTAATGAAAATTTTCAATACTATCTTACCTACCGCCAATAATTATTTAATTTTATGGGAAGCATTGATAAACAAATACGAAAATAAACGTTATCTGGGCATTCACTATTTCAAACAGTTAATGTCTTTTAAAACTGTAAACTCATCACAGTTGCATAACTTTATCGAGAAATTTGACACTGCAGTACAAGCATTAAATCAATTAAATATTCCAGACCTGTATGATTTTTTACTAACATCAATCGCTCTATCCAAATTAGATACCAATTTACAGAAAAAATTTGAAAATTATTTTCAGGGCGAATATCCTTCCTATAAAGAATTGTTACAATTCATAAATAAAGTGCAAAAAGGTCAAAGTTATATTTATGATTTGCGCGAGAAGGTTTCGAAAACCCACATTTCTCATTCGTTGATAACCAGCAATGTCAAATCGTTTCAATGTTACTTATGCAACAAAAGTCATAATATTTTCAAATGCTCGCAATTTCTAGAATTAAATATCAATGACAGATGGTCGGCAATTAAGAGACTGAATCTTTGTTCGAATTGCCTGGGTCATAAACGTAACAGTCCGTGTCATTCTAAGAAAACATGTCTGTATTGCAATACCAAACATCATACTTTATTACATTCAAATAATTGTGTTGACAATACAAAACAATTTCCAACAGATATTCCTTCCAAAAATTCGACACAGAAAAGTTTCGATTCCAATCAAAGTAATACTTTATGCGTTGTAAATGAATTAGATTTATCACTTCATATAAATCTTATGCCGACCGCAACTGTTTATGTTTTGGCAACAGGTATTAAAACTAGTCCGTTACGTGTCATTATTGATACCGCAAGCGATCGCAACTATGTGACTGAGTCATTCTGTAAATCCGCTCAACTAGAGATAACACCGATCGAGGCTCAAGTCATTTCTATAGGTAACTCTTCGCAAAAAATTACGGGCATGGCAAATTTTATTATTATGTCGAATGATTGTTCCTTTCAAATGTCTGTATGTGCCTATGTAATACATGAAATTGTCAAACCACAACCGACCATTAAAATTCCCTTCGATTCCATTAATAAATTTTTATCTTTACAACTGGCGGATAATAAATTTTTCATTCCTCAAACTGTTAATGGAATCTTGGGTTGTGATGTATTTAATGCTATTATTATGTCAAATCACATAAAAACCGTCGATTCACCTATCGCATTGGATACAAAATTGGGTTATGTAATAATGGGATCTCTTCCAAACGTTGCATCGCCTGATTCAAGTTCGACAAATCTATGCACGATTGAACATGATTCCTTATCTAAACAAATGAAAACATTTTTTGAGTTAGAAGATGTACCTGACATGATTGTGTCGGAAAACGATTATTGCGAACAGTTCTATACGTCCACCACAGTACGGAATTTCGATGGACGTTACGTGGTCGCATTACCATTTCGTGACAACGTTAATGTAAATTTTCAGAAATCATATGAACTCGCGCATAAGCGTTATTGTATTTTAGAACAAAAATTTCGGAAATCTTTTGAATTCCATAAACAATATTCAGAAGTAATTCAAGATTATTTACAACAAAAACACATGTCATTTTTAGGTCATGTAAATGATTCCGCAGCCAATGAAGGGTATTATATTCCACATTTTGCCGTGATTAAGGACAGCTCATCCACACCGTTACGAATTGTATTTGATGCATCAGCAAAGAATGCTGAATTTCCTTCCCTGAATGCCAACCTATTTTCCGGGCCAAAGCTACAGTCTAACATTATCACAATTCTTCTTAACTTTCGTTTTGGCGAAATTGCGTTAACGGCCGACATTAAACAGATGTACAGAAATATATTAATTCGTGATCAAGATAGACGATTTCAAAGGATACTTTGGAGATTTTCTCCGGAAGATCCCCTCGGCATTTATGAATTAAACACTGTCACGTTTGGTATTACGTCATCTCCTTTTCATGCGTTACGCACTATTAAACAACTAGCTAAAGATGAGAGCAAAAATTATCCCTTAGCCACTGATATAATTCAAAATGATATTTATATCGACGACGTGGTTACCAGTGCAGACACCGTCGAAATCGCAAAACAACTTTACGTTCAATTGTCGAGTTTGTTCCGTTCCGCGTGTTTTGAACTAGCGAAGTGGGCTTCGAATGATCGTCTAATGTATAAACAATTTGAATCACACCATAAAACACAAATTAATTTTTCACAAACAATTTCTGAATTTGATACGTCCGTTAAAGTATTAGGATTGAGATGGGATCCAATTCAAGATTGTTTTAAATTTAATATCAACCTTTTCCATCAAAATTGGACAAAACGTCATATATTATCCACCATTGCTCGTATTTGGGATCCTTTAGGTTTTATTACGCCTATTACCATAAAATTCAAAATGATCATGAAAGAACTATGGTTATTAAAATTGGATTGGGATGAGCCATTACCTTCCTCGTTAGTTGCAACATGGCTTAGTATTTATAATCAACTTCCAGAATTAATTAATCTTTCCATTCCTCGATTTGAAGGTACCAAAAATTATATTCGTTGTTCGCTTTACGGTTTTGCGGATAGTTCAGAAATGGCTTATGGAGCTGTGATTTATATCAAGCCTTGCCATGATAATAAATATTACCTTCTTATTTCAAAATCAAAAATTACTCCAATTAAAGTTCAAAGTTTAGCTAGGTTAGAGTTGTGTGCGGCGCATTTATTGGCAAAATTATTATCCTTTGTCATATCTTCCAATCATCATTCTTTATGTATCGAAGAAATATATGGTTTTACGGACTCGATGATTGTGCTTCATTGGTTAAAGGACCAGCTCATAGATGGAAAACTTTTGTCGCAAATAGAGTAACGAAAGTTCATGATTTACTTCCTTCTGCCAAGTGGTATCATATTCCTTCCGAGGCAAATATTGCCGATTGTGTTTCTCGTGGTTCATTACCAAATACATTGCTTAATAATAGTAATTGGTACACAGGTCCCTCATGGCTTTACTCTCAAAGAAGTCATTGGCCCATACGTTCTACGTTAGATTCCATGCAAAATGTTCCAGAAGAAAAAGTTTCATCTTGCTTAGTGGCAAACTCCTGTAAAAATGATCTATACGAATTTATTTCCACTATATCTTCATGGGCCAGACTATGCAGAATATTTGTATTTATTTTACGTTTCTGCAAAATTATTCCATCTAGAAGTGAAATATATTTTTCAGATTTCAACAAAGCCGAATTAACTATAATCAAACTTATCCAACAAATCTATTTTTTCGAAGAAATTGATTGTTTGAAAATGAACAAGTTTCCTACAAGGTATCGGACTTTACGACTATTTTTACATGATGGGTTTTTAAGAGTTGGTGGACGTTTAACACATGCTAACCTGAATTTTGATCATAAATTTCCCTTGCTTTTACCCAAAAAGGATCACGTGATAAATTTAATAATTGATTATTATCATGAGAAACATTTACATGCTGGAACACATTTACTCACTTCCATTCTTCGTCAAAGATACTGGATTTTATCCATTCGCAGTATTGTACGCCAACGTATTCATAAATGCAATAAGTGCTTTAGGAATAATCCTAAATCCTTTACTCCTATTATGGCTGATTTACCTTCTCCTCGTGTTATGGAGGCAAAACCTTTTCAGCACACCGGTACTGACTATGCTGGTCCCTTTCGCGTAACCATGGAAAAATTTAGGGGCGTAAAAAGTTCAAAAGCATATATTTGTTTATTTATTTGTTTTTCCACAAAAGCAATACACATTGAGCTTGCCTCCGATTTAACCACTTCGACGTTTTTAAATTGTTTTAAGCGCTTTATTTCACGAAGAGGTCCAGTCTCTTGTCTGTATTCAGATCGCGGAACAAATTTCGTTGATGCCAAATCAGAACTGAAAGATATATTTCAACTTATTAACTCAAAATCATTTAGTGCATCATTGAACTCCGAACTTCACAAGCATAATATCAATTGGTCTTTCAATCCGCCAGCCGCACCCCACTTCGGGGGTTTGTGGGAGTCCAACATAAAATCTATAAAAGCGCATTTATATCGAGTAATAGGTGAACAAATTCTTACTTACGAGGAATTAAATACCGTGTTAATCCAAATTGAGGCGCTTCTCAATTCTCGACCATTATGCTGGATGAGTTCCGATCCAAGTGATCCCCAACCTCTTACGCCAGCTCATTTCCTCACTTTAACTCCCTTAAATATCCTTCCATCAAAAAATATGTTGCAAATAGATTTACCCACGCGAAAACAATTAATTGATAAAATAATACAATCTTACTGGAAGAGATGGCATTTTGAATATTTAAGTGATTTACAATCACGTCAAAAGTGGAACACCCCTTCTCTCCCGGCTAAAAAGGGTATGTTAGTTCTAATCAAAAATGAAAATTTGCCTCCTCTTCAATGGTCTATGGGGGTTATTGAAGACGTTTTTCCTGGAAAAGACGGAGAGGTGCGGACAGCTTTAGTAAGAACCAGGGCTACGTTATTGAAACGCCCTGTAGTAAAGCTCTACACAGTAATTTATGGTGAAGAAATATGTTTTTTCATATTTGCAAACGATATATAAAAAAAAATAGTCTAATGCTTTTATTTGTTACCTTTCAATTAATTCCTTCCTTTTACCTTTTACCATTATATGTGGTAACTTTATCAGTAACTTGCTTCTATTCAGAGGAATCGCATGACAACTCGATCACACTCAAGAGCAGAATGTTATTTGCTCAGTTGTTTTCACAAATTTTGATAATATTCAAAAATCTGTACATTCAAGAAGATCCAACGCTATGAATCATCATAATATTGCAGTTATTGTAAAAATGCCTTTAATTTGGAAATGAATACGGCCCCATATTGGACACATTCCAAATACGAACTGGTTGTTTTAAACCATGCTGGTTACTCAAAATAAACTACCACCATTATCAACAAATCCACGAAACAAGGTCAATGAAATTTTAATTCCTATTCGACATAAAGGCATCTTAGATATGACAATTGATAATTCCACCAAGACAAGTTTTCATGTGTTCCGAAAAACAAGCATGTATGATGCACACCTAAAATTATTTCCAGTGGTGCTATATGCAAGTCTCATGGAAGTGATATCCATTAATAGAGAATATTAAAAATCACTTGCTATAGCAGAGAATGAAATTTGGCAGCATTATTACAGCAAGATACTGAGCAACTATATTATAGTTCAAACAAATAACAAGGTTACTGCTTTCCTGTCAAGATTACTTATCCTTAATATTGATTATGATGGGTGAACATAGAAGCATTAGATATTCCATCAAAACTTAACTTACTTCCTAGATTCAATTAAGAAACAACATGTTATTTCTTCACCATCTCTCATGTGTTTTATTCCTTGCATAGTTTGACTAATGGTTTTGATATTTCCATTTATATTTTCTAGTATTAAAAAGGTACCCTTTTTCGCCCGGGGAAGAAATGGTGACGCCACTGACTATTACATGCGTCGATAATAATAATATAGTCGCCATCTCGGGGTTACAATATGTCAACCGATTTGTTCCTTTCTAATCCAGACTACCTGCCTCTTTCCTTCCAAAACTTTGACCTATGACTTCCGACACGTGGTCTACTCTTCGTTTCGAGTTGATTTCCAGTTCACTTCGCTTCCAGTGTTTATTCTATTCGAGTTGATTTCTAGTCACTTCGCTTCCAGTGCATTTCAATTCGGGTTCTATCTAGTTCCGTATTCAATTTGATTCCAGTGCGTTATCAGTACGCTTACAGCTTGCTTTCTTTCTTTGGTTCAGTTTCGAGTTTCCTTCCGAGTCAGTCGAGTTTAGAAGTTTTGTTGAGTTTCCTTTTATTGACCAAAGTGTGGTCATTTTTTAGTTTGTTATTATCATAGAAGAAGAACGTTTTTAGTTTCCATATACAGTCCACGAATACCAGCCATCCGTGTGGTCTACTGATCGAATCAAGGCCACACCATCGTCGGATCCAACTCCTATTCCATCAACAAGTAATATGTCTTCAACAGCAACAATGAATCCAGAGTCCACTGCACGCGATGTGATTGATTACACGAATAAAAACCCATGGCAAGAGATAACTTCCGCTAAAAGACGTCGCCCGAACAACGCAGTAAGTAATGTAAGCGTTCCCATAAAATTAGCCAACAAATTTAGCGCTCTAGAAAACAATGTTTCTAAACCATCAGACGAGGCAACAGTTAATAAATCTACTCTTCCGCCTTTATTTGTCTACGGCAGTGATCGGGGAACTTTTGGAACCATTACCCCAAAATGTTTTTGTGCAACCTCTCATTACCCCACAAAAAATAACTAGAAGAATTTATATTTGGAATCTGTTTGCAACATATTTCTGTATAATCCGCCATAACCCGCAGATTAACGGTTTGCTACATTGTTTGCTCCTTTTAAACTTTGAAAAAGGCTGAAACAAATGGTTTGTAGGAAACAATAAGTAAAAACTATATTCTTTATGAATAAATATATTTTTCATGAAAATCCTACTAATACACGAATAAACTAGTAGTGTATGGCATCATGCCTTAAGGCAAATTGCTGGAACTTTTCGCACCGTTACGAAATGTTCGAGGAATTTTAAATGTTTTCATTGTATAATATTTATAAGATATATATAAGCTGAATTACAAAGTTAAAATTATTTGTTTGAAGTATATAAATGAGCTTTAGAACTTAAGCCAGAATTAAAATTGAAATCTGAATTATTTTCGATATACAAAAAAACATTTTTAAAAAAAAAAATTAAAATATTTTTTCCCCCAAAAACAATTGTTTTGTCAACATAAACGGCAAGTTTTTTCATTCAAATCGGATGCTTAGTTCTCTCAAAAACTGTCATTTCTGTACATTTAGCTCTGTATCTTCGAAATGGCTGAATCTGTCTTTGCCAAAACCTAATCACTACTTCTCCCAAACATTACAAATTGAATGTTTTTTGGATCATTCAAATGGGATACTCCGTTCTCTCAAAAACTCGATTTCTATTTTCTGCACTCTTTACTCCGTATTTCCGTAACGGCTGGACCTGCCTTTGCTAAATACTAATCAGCATATCTCCCTATCAATAAGAACCGAATGTTGAATGAACCATTCAAATCGGTTCATCCGTTCGCCCTAAAACGTGAACGAAAAAATGCGGACAGACAAAACACACACACACACATCTATTTTTGCTGAGGTATGGCAAAATGCTCAAAAACCTCTGAAGCGTGAAGAAATGCAAAAATTTTCATTTTCGATTTTCGGCCCATTACTATAACTTACCCTACGGGAAGTTAACAATAATGCACACATTTAATGTAAGAACATTACGATTTGGAGAAATGGTTTTGCTTCATCTTTGATACAATTTCTTCAAAATTGGGACTTTAACATGTAAGAGCAATTTTAATACAATCTGCGGCATTCAAACTATTTTTTCTCGATTTTCTGTTTATTAGACTAGAAAAGTATGGTTTGCACAAATATGTGGTTCTAAATGGAAGCAATTTTCTTACCGCTTCTTCATGTGCTGTTTCAAAACCCTTTGCAGCTTTTGGCATCCAAAAACATAACAGGTTTTGTTCACTCCCAAATAATTAATTTTTTTAAAATCCTTCAAAAACAAAGCTAACCTTGGAAAATATGCTATCTTGTTCTCTACTACTTTCTGCCTCTAATATTCCAGCTTTGAACCAAATGCTGACAATATTTCTCTCGCTGAAATAATATTAATATGCTTTCCCTGTAATTCTTTGTTTAATATATTTATGCTCTCAAAAATGTCTGCTAAATATGCGAAATATGCAACCAAGGAAGAGTTTTTAAAATTTTCAGCAAGAATATTTTTTTGAAAAATAATAGAGATTTCAGCTTCATTTAAGAGTCCATACTCAATTTAAAATATTTCCGCGAGAGAGCTACATTACTTCTGTGTAATAAAGGAGGTAGGTCTCAGCTTCACCATCCTGACATAATTCACAAATAACCGCGTATTTAGTGCATGTCTCTTGATAAAATTTATAATTTTGATAACATCATGAGTGTGGGTTATTTTTCCTTACAAAAGCTGAAAAACCATAAATAGCTGGAGTTTCATCCAAAGATATAAAATTGCAGTATTCCCATTTTAATCTTTGCGCTTTGAACTATTCGTTCAGCAATTCCTTTTCAAAATTATCTACACCTTTATAGCAAACATATACCAGTTGTGAATTACTACTGAAATCCGTTGTCTTAAGCTGAATATCAAAATATTTAGTTTGTTTTAATGCAAAAACTTCACCTTTTTGCTAATGCAGATTTTCTTTTCGGTAGTAGGCGCTTTACTGAAGCTGATTTTAAAACATGCAAGCAATATTTAACTTGTTTTAGAGCGAAAATTATTTATTCCTTCACATTTTCTGCTAATGCAGAAATTTTCTCCGATAGTAGGTTTTACTGTAGCTGATTTAGTGCTTCGAAAATATATACTTTTTACCCCCAAAAATTTCACTTTTACCCCATTTGGGGTAATTTACCCCGGTTCCCCGACCACTGGTCTACGGGGTTCGAGATTACAATCTTATGATAGCGGATATTAATTCAATTATTAATAAAGACAAATACATCACCAAATACCTACCTAATAAAACTATTAAATTCAACATTTTTGAAATAGAAGACTGCCGCAATTTTGTTAAATTTCTGCGTGAAAGAGACGTCGTTTTTCATACCTACCAGATAAAAGCGGAACGCTCATACAGGGTGGTCGTACTCAAATATCTGCACTACGCTACAGATAAAAATGATATCAAAGCCGCAATTGAAAAAGAAGGTCATCCTGTCAGAAATATTACCAATATCATACACCCGAAAACTAAACAACTGCTGAACATGTTTTACATAGACTTAGAACCCAAAGAAAACAATTCGTCAATTTTTAAAATGAATAAAACGTTAAACGAAATAATTCATTTTGAGCCCCCAATAAGCTCATCAAATATTCCGCAGTGTGTAAGGTGCCAAATGTACGGCCATACCCAGCGTTATTGCAACCGCAGATTTATATGTGTAAAATGCAGCTCTGATCATGAGTCTAAAAAGTGTACAAAAGCAGCTGAAGCCCCGCCCCTTTGTTATCATTGCGGCGATAATCATACCGCAAACTACAAAGGGTGTTCATACTACCTTCACCTTGTCGGTGCAGATAACGATCAAGCAACAATAGGCAGAAGTAACGGGACTTATTAACTTCCCGTAGGGCAAGTTATAGTAATCGCAAAAAAATCGAAAATGAAAATTTTTATATATCTTTACGTTTCAAAGGTTTCTGAACATTTTGGCATACCTTAGAAAAAATGGATGTATGTGTGTGTGTGTGTGTATGTATGTATGTATGTATGTATGTATGTATGTATGTACGTGTGTGTATGTATGTGCGGATACAAATTTTCGTCGACGATTTCGGGAACACGGATCAACCGATTTGAATAATTCAAAAAACATTCGATTTGTATTGATAAGGAGACGTGCTGATTAGTTTTTGGCAAAGGCAGGTCTAGCCGTTCCAAAGATACGGGGCAAAAAGTGCCGAAAATGGTAACTCTGTTTTTAAGAGAACGGAGCGTCCGATTCAAATAATTCAAAAAACATTTCACTTGTATTGACAAGATGAAGAATCGATAAAATTTTCATGAAGGTAGGTCTAGCGGTTTCGGAAATATGGAGAAAAAGGTAAAAAAATGAGCCATTTGGCGGTCAAAAATGATCATTGGACATATGCACATCAAATTATGAAATATTTTATAGAGATTTTAACATTAAGTATACATTTTGTTAACATTTCTATGGGTTTCGCAACAATGCTTATGCGTTAGACAGCGACGCGGCGCTTACGCGCTTTATATTTTGTCCCTATGCAGATAAAGCAGTACGATTGCTTTGAAAAAAAGTTCAGATCTTCCACAATATGTCAAAATAAAGAAAAAAAAATTTTTTTTCAAAAACAAAAAATTATTTTTTTTTCTTTTTTTTTAATTTTTTTTTATTAAAAAGTTATTTTTTGTCCAATTTATAGTTTCTCAAAAATCTTATTTTTTCAAAGTAAATTTTTTTCAAAAATGTTAATCGTTTTTAAAAAAATAATAATTTTTGGTACGGGAAGTTCCAGCAATTTGCCTTAAGGCACGATGCCTTAATTGCCTTAAGACAGAATTTCACTTACAGCTAGTTTACACACAAATGCAAACCGGTACAAATCCAACCTACACAACAATAGAATTTCACAGTACGCAAACCCTCAGCATATGTCTTATGCTCAGGTAATAAAATCGCAATCAAACCTATTTAACAACAATCAAAATCACATTAACAACAGTAATTCTCCATCGATGTCTGACTTCCTGACCGAATTTAGAAATATGTTTAGCCAGTTAATGGAACAAAACACCATGAATGTCAAAATGTTATCAACATTAATCAACATTAATAAAGCTAAATAATGGCTAATATTTTAAACTTAGGATTATGGAATGCTAACGGCTTGTGTCAACACAAAGCCGAAGTAGAATTATTTTTGAGACACAACAATATCGACATCTTTTTAATTAGTGAAACACACTTCACCAAGTATTCAAACTTTTATATACCAAATTACAAGACATACTTCACTAACCATCCTGATGGCACCGCACATGGTGGGACTGCCATTATTGTAAAATCTAATCTTCTTCATTACGAGCTGGATAAATACGAATCTGAAATTTTGCAAGCCACATCAATTTCAATAAAAATGAATTCATTCAACTTATGTGTTTCTGCAGTCTACTGCCCGCCGAGGCACAATATAACCAGTTTACAATTTCAAGAATTTTTCTCTACACTAGGTAGTCATTTCATCGCCGGCGGAGACTACAACAGCAAACACGTCAATTGGGGCTCAAGATTAAATAATCCTAAAGGAAAACAGCTATATGATACAATACATAAACTCAATTATAGTGTTCTTTCTTCAGGTTCCCCCACCTACTGGCCGAGCGATCCTGCCAAAAAACCAGATCTATTGGACTTTTTTGTATCATCGGGTATAAGCTCAATTCACAAGGAAGTACGAGCAAGCTACGACTTATCATCAGACCATAGTCCAGTAATAGCCAGCATAAGCACATCGGCAAGTATTTCTAAACCCTCCTATAGGATCTGCAACCATAAAACAAACTGGGACATCAACCGGAAGTTCGTAGAAGACAAAGTTAACCTCAAAGTTAAACTTAAAAATTCCGCTGATATCGAAAACACCATCGATTCCTTTAATACTCTCCTATATGATGCTGCAAAGTT